ATGGCGCTCACTCAGCCTCGCGTCTCATGCCAGACTCCCTACATTCCCTACTTCCTAGCCGCCCTCTCCCTCGCCAGCGCTCCCAATTCAACACAAACGAAGAGGCGACGAAGGCGAGAAAGTCCGCCAAAAATGTCAGCTTTAGAGAGGGAAATCGCGTCTCTAGTACAGGACAAGTACTTAATGACGAGCCTCGGTGCGAGTGTGAGCCAGTGGAGTCCCGAAGCCCTTGCCAGAGCGTACCAGAGGCTGTTAAGTGTGTATGACAGCTGCTTCGACTCCCCTTCCTCGATCAGCTGTGTGAAGACCAGGCTACAGCATGTCCAGAAGTAAGGCTCTTTAAGTGGCTTTAAATTGCTTATTTTTGAGGTGGTGTACGTTATTTTTTTTGTGAATTCAGTAAATATCTATTTATTAAATATCTAGGCTTAAATAGGCTTGTGTATTCAGTAAATATCTGTTGGTAAGTGTAATTAAAATTTCGAGGGCGATATAGTGTAAAATTCTCCGTTTAAACTTCCTTGTACTTTCTGTTACTTAATGCCTTGATTTTTATTTATTTATTTTTTTTATTTTTATTTTTTTTTTGGGTGGGGGGCTTATAGGAATAGCTTGCTTTTCATTTCATGGTCTTGCAAGAAATACATGAATAGGGGGTTTATTGACTTCAGTGCCCGTGGTTTTATTTAAGGTGTAGGTCTATTTTTTTTTTAATCAATTGTGGGCTTAATTTTTATTTTCCGGCGGTGGTTAATGTTTTTGAGGGCAACACGCAGAGATAGAGAGGGAAATGGAGACTACCTCTTATGGAGCATAAGAAATAGTCATATGCAACAGAGGTACAGATGTTGCACCCTCGTATTTATTGCAAGATGACGAAAATATCCCCTGCATGTCACCACTCAGGGAGTTCTTAATCTCATGTTTTTTGTAAGTTTGGTACTCTGTCTAGGGAATAAATAGAAGGTAGGAAAGGTTGGGTTTGGAAATAATTTCCATGCTTAATAATGTAGAAGCTCCTTCTAAGATCTTTGTGCAGTGACAGTGAGACATACCATCACCTGTCACTTGGCAAGGGTATCTCATGACAACACTAACCAACCTTTTGTCAGATTTTTCCATGACACATTCCTGTTACTAGCCACTCAACCATATTTTTTCATGATCTGTCACGTAGATCCAGTGGGTTAGAATTATCCTCCTTTTTGATGGGTTGTCCCACAGGGTCTCCCCAGCATCTGCCGCCATAAAGGCTCTTGCCAAAACTTCCACAACTAAATTAGAGAGTTTAATTTGTTTACCAAAAAGTATCAGTTACTGTAAAATGTCTCCATAGCTCACAGCATGGTAGCAGTACTTGTTTAAAAAGATATATAGTACTGCCAGTAATTTAACTTATTTTCCTAGTGGTAAGAGAAATTTGTAATTTTCATTGCTGATATGAAAATTCTAGAGGTGCTGGTGGTACCTTTTACCATAAGTATGACCAGAATTTTCTCTTCCTTTTTTTATGGTTCCCATTTCTATATGCTCTCTAGTGCCATCTGGAAACTTATATTATGTAAAACCAAAGTTTCCATGTTTCCAAAACTTTTCATAGAACAGAAAGAGCTACTAGACTAAGTCAACCACCTTTTCAGATGTCTCCGTCTGCTTGGGATTGGCCACCTCGCTCCAAAGCTGGATGAGCTGACAGATACTGGCAGAGCTTTAAGGATCATCTCTGCCCTCGATGACAAGATATCTGCAAAACATAGTGTTCAGATAGCAGCCAAACGGAACAGAGTTGTGAGTGCCACTTTCTGCTCGTCCTAGAATATGGATAGTTTTGATGATTATCATAGGCATTTTACTTTTCACAGTGCTGATCACAATAAAACTGTGATATGAATGTAAAAGGTCATGATCTCCATTTAGTAAAGGGGTAACCAAATTGTATGATGTTGAATCTTGAGAATTCTAATTTTTACTGTGATATTGATGGCCATGTTCAATTTCAAGAAAGTTTGAGATGCTCTACCTGAGAACTTTGGAAATTCACAACCCAAATCAAGTGTTAATATGAATGCAAATTTTTTTTTTAAGTTGATCTTCATTTAGCATGATTATAAGACTTATTTTGCATTAACAGTAGTGAATTCAAATCTTTTGAAAGTAAAACAGCATATCAATGCCTTTGTGTTGGAAAGCGGTATTCTGGTGGTGATTCATGAAGGAAGTTGGTTTGATTAGAGGTTGTATATATTTCCATATACAAGAATCCAGTGTTTAAATTAGTGTGGAGTTCATTTAATATACTGCGTATTAAAGAGAGAACAATGTGCTAAATAGATGAAACATTAAGACTTATTTGTGGTAAAAGTTTATCTTTTGAAATATATGCCGAAGTATTATTGTGTGTCAAAATATTTTTAAAATGTCAGACCAGTTACTGATACTGAAACTTAAATTTTCTGAGTTTTGTACCTAATTTTCACCAGGACTGGGAACCAGAAAGCAGACAAAATTTACAATTTTAGAAAAATCTGATGATTGAATAATCACTAGGTTAAATTAGCTTCTCTGTGAACCCGTCTTAATATTAAAAGATTTCATGATGAGCTTTTATTATAGACCTTATTGACAACAGTGAAAATGTAGATCAGCTGTAACTGAGTTATACTGAGACTTTATGGACTAGAATTACAGTAAATGGTGGAAAGGAGGTACCCATTTTCTTTTGTCATTAGAATGTCATAGAAGAAAAATTTAATGTATGATGATTTAGTGTCACAAGTGAATTGTGAATTTAGGGCATTGATAATTAAGTCATAATATAAATTAGTTTGTGATTTTTAATTTGAATAGAAGAAAAGACAATATTCCTCATGTATAATTGAGTATAATTCACTGGGAAGTGTCCCCCCCTATATATATATAGATATAGATATAGATATAGATATAGATATAATAAGTAGGTCTTCTTGGTGAGTCTTCCCATTGCCACCTATTTGTTTACATGGACTTTCACTGAAGATATACTTATCATTATCTTCTCTAAGACTCATTTGATCTCACCAAGAGAATCAATAAAGATATTTATTTTGTTGCTGGAATGAAACAGTGAACAGATATTAGTCAGGATCTTTGCTAATGTTATGACCCACTCTTTGCAGATAATGAAACAGGAAGAACTCAGAAACAAGCCGGCCAAGAAAGTAGTCAAAGTTCCTGTTCGCAAAGAAAAATTTGAGCAAGAGAATGTTGACCCAAATATCATTTCCACGAATCCTGAGGAGCCAGTTGGAAAGACGTCCACCAGCACATCCTCGTCAGGAGCCATTATGACACAGAATGAATGGTTGATTCAACAGAAGGCAGACTCTCAGCCCACAGAAGCACCAAAGGAGGAAAAAATTCCAACTATTATTCCAACAGGTATTTGGATAAAATTTTAATATAAGTACAAATCTGAGGAAAGACAATCACTACTACAATCCATGGGTTTGTGATGATCTTGTAACTCTCAAATATAGAGGATCATAGTACATGTAAGATCTTGCCAATAACAAATGTTGTCCACATTTGCTCTGACCATACTTCTCCCTAGATTTTAGTACAGACCAGATTTTTTTTTACTTTAGAGTTAATCTAGGTGCAATTTTAGGCTGATAGCATGAATACCTTGTATCCTGCAGTGAAACTTTGTATACTCTCCTGGTAATCAGAGTGTCAGCTTAGATCTCAAAGACAGCAATTATTAGTGGAAGGGACCTTAAGAAACAGATAATTTGCCAGCTTTCATATACAGGCAATATATTTAGAAATGGTTTCAGTGTTATATAACATAAACAGATTTTAGATATACTAACGAGTAAATGAAGAAAGTACTTTTAAAATTGGTGCATACCCATTTTGACCCCCCTGTCCAATAGGTATGCTTATATTAGTTATTCCCAAGATGATAAAGCTAAAAGATTCTCATTCACATGTGTTAGACATTAGTCATTCCTTTATTGGTTTATCTAGGGTATATTGATATTATCATAAAAAGTTTTATTTTCTTTGGTACGTCACAAGGCTTAGTCAGAATAAAGTAGTATTTAGAGGTCAATAATATTTTGGGGAGAGAAAAAAAATCTTTGGAAAACCTTTTCTTTTCATTGATATCTATGCATTATTATGTGTTTGAAGTGGGCGTTAACTATTGATTTTATATTGGGTGGAAATACAAATATCTCTCTCTCTCTCTCTCTCTCTCTCTCTCTCTCTCTCTCTGTACATTTTGAACCATTCGTGGGTGGTGTATCAATTGGATGCCACTCCAACGTCTTCAGAGGAAAATACCCCAATTTCTCCCTAAGAATAGAAGAGGCTTTAGAGTTTCATGTCCCATGCATGACGTCTCTAGCAGTCACTTGAAAAAATGCACACATATTGGTCAAGGGCTCCCCAGCCCTGTCCAAAAAGTACACACCCTTGCCCAGGCTGTATTCTCTGCTTCTAAACAGATCTGATTCATGCTTTTAGTACCTACCATGACTAAATCAACCTGCAAACAAAAAGAAATCAAACTATGTTAACCATAAAGTAACCACATAACAAAAGGTAAAAGTGGCAACCCTTAGCTTTTCATAAGAAAATAGTAGCTGCTTCTACCTCTAGGTTTTCAGTGTTATAGATGGGAATAGGTTATGTGTTTACTGGTGCCGCTAGGCGTGAAAACGAACCACTCGAAAAGTGGCGTGCAGTTGTACGCTGCGGCGGCGCACCAAAGCGCAGCGAGCCAGTGATTCAGGCTTCAGCCTCAAAATTCTATAGCTCCACTCACCATCCCTCTTCCCACCAATCATGTAAATCAGCTAGACTATGCCCCACCCTCTACCCAAAATGAGAAACTTATCATTGGCAGAGTCTACATCATAGCTTCCCCCTCTGTGGTCCTACCCTTGTCCTCCATAGCCCCCTATCCTTTACTTCACCTCTTACCCCTCTACCAGAGATGAGAGAGAGTTTACCTTAGTTTACCATGAAATGAACTTGAGGCTTCATTGAATCATTCCTCTCTCCTCTTTTGTTGTTGTGTGTGGGTGTGTGTTGGGTGGGTGAAAGAGGAAGAAATTGTATTAGATAAGAGACTCTCAGGACAACACATTCAGTTTTATTTTTATTTTATGTGGAAAAAAAACACTACTACATAAAAGAAAAGATGTTTAAGAAGAACTGGGAAAAGCAACATTGTGAAAAAAACAATGAATGTAGCTAAGCATCCAGAAGCAAAGACATATGGGTGCCAGTAGTGTTGAATATCTTGTAAAAATCATAATGCAGTTCAATTACTTGTTCATCATAAGTAAATCATATGATGAATAATATAGCTAGAAATTGTACTGAACTACAACATAACTAGTATTATATTAAAATGCATGCACAATTTATTTAAGATTTCAGCCAGTTTTGAGTGCTGCCCCTTCTGAACATTACAGTTTGTAATACAAATTTTTGGACAGCATAAATGTCACTAGAGATTGTTGGTGATAAGATGCACCCAGAGATGTACTACATATACTCACTCAGAGAGTTGTATATTAAGTACTGTATAAGCTTGCATTCTTTAAAGAAGGGGGCTGTTGTAGAAGATATACAATCACACAGTCAGTGATAATTCCCACTATGGATGTGTTAACATCAGAAATAAACATCTCTTTCATCAGTGTGCAATCTGAACTTAACCGCTGGTGTAAGGGATGGTCTAGAAATAAATGATGTGCTTTATATTATTATTTATTATTTATTTATAATATTCTCTCTCTCTCTCTCTCTCTCTCTCTCTCTCTCTCTCTCTCTCTCTCTCTCTCTCTCTCTCTCTCTCTCTCTCTTTCTCTCTCTTTCTCTCTCTCTCTTTCCAGAAGACATTATATTTTCCTAATCTTTTTCTTCTTTTTAATAGGTCGCCAACTACCCAGAACTCCTGTCAAACCATCTGATCTTCCACCTGAAGATACTGACTCTCCAGAAACTCAGCATGATCCAGAAACTTCATGTGCAATAGAAAACAGTGACAAGGATTCACCTTTTTTGTCTGTTGCTCCAGCAACTAATTATATTCCAAGTGGACGACAACTTCCCAGAACACCAAAGGCTGAGGAAGACTTCAATTCTAGTGATGATCAGTCAGAATTTAGAAACTCTGAGTCTCTCTTGGAAGAAAAGTCACATCATAGCATTAACCTTGCAACACAGAACAAAACCGAGACTAACAGAAGAGGAACCTTTGTCCTTCCAACACCCCCAAGATGCCAACAAACAGTGCTTTTGTCAGAGGATTCTCTAACTGATAGTGAAAGACGGGGCACTTTCACTTTCCCGCCACCTTCAGGATATGAAAATAAAGATTCATACAGTGAAGTTAGTGAGAGTACTGGTGATAGGAGAGGGACATTTACTCTTCCGTCACCTCTAGAAAATGAGAGAGATGATGACACTCTACTAGATAGAAGGGGCACATATACTTTCCCCCCTCCTGCAGAGTTTAAGGGAGAAGATTCGTATGGTGAGGAAGTGGACAGTGAAGAAAACAGGAGCACATTCACCCTCCCACCTCCTGTTGGGTATGAGGAAGAAGAGTCCCACAGCAATGTCACTGAAGTTGATGCAGATAGAAGGAGTACATTCACCCTTCCTCCTCCAAGTGGATATGGAGAATATGACACATACAGTGCAGCTAATGCACCAAATAGAAGAGGAACATACAATGTCTCATCTACTGAAATGGATGGAGACTCCTTTGATTCTTCCCAAGATGAGGATGATAACATTTTTCAAAGTGAAACCAAAAGAAGAGAAACATTTGCCATCCCTTTACATTCTGAGAAAGAGGGAAGAAGGGATACATATGCTATTAGTGGTCCTTCAGATGATGACAGACGTGGTACATATGCTATCAGTGGTCCTTCAGATGATGACAGACGTGGTACATATGCTATTAGTGGTCCTTCAGATGATGACAGACGTGGTACATATGCTATCAGTGGTCCTTCAGATGATGACAGACATGGTACATATGCTCTCAGTGGTCCTTCAGATGATGACAGACGTGGTACATATGCTCTCAGTGGTCCTTCAGATGATGACAGACGTGGTACATATGCTATCAGTGGTCCTACAGATGAAGGGGACAGACGTGGTACATATGCTATCAGTGGTCCTTCAGATGAAGGGGACAGACGAGGTACATTTGCTATCAGTGGTCCTTCAGGTGCTAGTGATAGACGGGGTACTTATAATCTAGGTAAAGGCCCATGCACCTCAGAAGACTATGTAGGGCCAATTTGCTCAAACAAAATGAAAAAGGAGATTTTAGTTTTTGGTCAAGATTCTCTCAACACTAAGCCCATGGGACCTATTCCAGATTTAAGCGAATTTGATGATCTCCCATTTACTGATGAAGTTACTGTAAGTGATCGTACATTTCAGACTGATTCTGTTGAATCTTCTAGAGAAGTGTCGGAGCTTTCAGAGAGATATATGGATACACCGTTTAAGAGTAATGAAGTAAAGAATGCTTCCCATGAGGATATGCCTTTGCCAGTCACTAGTGTAATGGTAGATAATAGTGTGGCTTTACAACCTCCAACAGCTAGAGAAAATTATATTCCACGAGGAAAACAGATACCAAGGACACCCAATGAGAATGACTCAAGGGAAAAGAGCAGCTCTTTGATAAACAGTACTGGAAGTGCAACTGAAACTACATTTGAGCATTCCAGTATAGGAGGTGATGCCAATTTCTCTGTTCAGATATTTGTCGCAACTCCAAAGAGACCCCAGAATGCTAAACTGACTGGAGCAAAAGAACATGATGCAGCATTGATTGAGATCCCCAAAGATGACAGCGATATGCCAAGAAACGAAATCCAAAACAATCATGGCACTACTTCAGATACAAAAATAACACTTCAAGTAAAACAAAACTCTAAGCAGCTTCAGCCAAAATTGATGGAGGAAAGTCCTAGGCTGGATTGGGATGCTAATAATCCTTCTGAAAAATATTCAGATACCAGCAATGTTGATCTTCAAGATAGGATTTTGGAAGATAAGTCACCAAACCATCTTGTAGATTCTCCTTGCTTGAAGAAAACCAACATCTCAGACTTTGATGATTCTTTGGAGATTTTCCCCTCAAAGACTAGAAAAATAACCATGAAGAATGAGAATTCCATCACAGGTAACCTTGGAGAAGCGAGTAGAGTAGCAGAGGGTGAATTAACAAAAGAAAATACTTCTATTATGGATACCAAGAGGACTAAGATGGGTGGTACTGAGAACAAGAGTGAAAGTCATGGTAGTAGTGAGGAAGAGATGCAGAATAAGTATGCACTTGACAGAAATGAGTTCCATGAAACAATAGAAGAGGACATAATGCATAATCCTGAAGGAAAAAGGAAGCAAGGTAGAGGTAATAGGAAGGAGAAAACCACAGAAATGTTGGAGAACCTTGATGTTTTAGCCAAAACACAGAAAAAGGATAAAGTCAAAGCAAGGGAGATGAAACTCGAGAAAAATGAACCTGAGGTTGAAAACAACTCTGAGAAAGTAAGAAATATTAAAGAAAAGGAAAACAACATGCCTCCAGAAAGAGAAGTTAATTTGAAACATAAAAACACGAAAAGCAAGCAAGAAAAACAACAGAGATCTGCCAGAGCTTGTGAAGAAAACAAACCTCATGATGCTGACCTTAATTCTTCAAATGATACAGAACATAATGATAGCAACCAGCTTTTCTTACATCCAGTGAAGGCGAATAGGCAAGGGCAGAAGATATCTCAAGATGACAGCCAAAAGAAAGCAGAAGACACTCAGTCAGTAAAAGAAGAACCTGCTGAACCCAAAGAAAAGAAATCTAGGCAAAGAAAACCAGCTGAAGATAAAACAGTTAAGAGAAGAGGTAGGAGAAAGGAAAATGCAATAAGTGAAGATTGTGACAGTAAAGTGGAAACTGCTCTAACAAAATCTGAAAAAAGTGAAAAACAGGATTCTGTAGTAGAGCCATCTATAGAAAAGGACACAAACAGCAAAAGTGATGAACTATCACCAATCAAAGCATTGCCCAGACGAGGCAGGAGAAAGAAAATTGAACCAGTGGAAATCCTCCAGATAACAGAGGATAAAGTGAATGTAAAACCAACAAAATCATCACCCAGTGAAGATTTGCCAGAAGCACCAGCTAAACAGATGCGAGGAAGGCCGTCAAGGAGAGCAGCAAAAGATCCTCTGGCCAAGGAAAATGATGTTGAATTAAATGAAACCATACCAGTTCAGAAAGGTAAAAAGAAATCAGATGTAGAAGAGAAAACCACAGAAATGTTGGAGAACCTTGATGTTTTAGCCAAAACACAGAAAAAGGATAGAAAACAACATGCCTCCAGAAAGAGAAGTTAATTTGAAACATAAAAACACGAAAAGCAAGCAAGGAAAAACAACAGAGATCTGCCAGAGCTTGTGAAGAAAACAAACCTCATGATGCTGACCCTTAATTCTTCAAAATGATACAGAACATAATGATAGCAACCAGCTTTTCTTACATCCAGTGAAGGCGAATAGGCAAGGCAGCAGAAGGAATCTCAAGATGACAGCCAAAGAAAGCAGAAGACACTCAGTCAGTAAAAGAAGAACCTGCTGAACCCCAATGAAAGAAATCTAGGCAAAGAAAACCAGCTGAAGATTAAAACAGTAAGAGAAGAGGTAGGAGAAAGGAAAATGCAATAAGTGAAGATTGTGACAATAAAGTGGAAACTGCTCTAAGAAAATCTGAAAAAAGTGAAAAAACAGGATTCTGTAGTAGAGCCATCTATAGAAAAGGACACAAACAGCAAAAGTGATGAACTATCACCAATCAAAGCATTGCCCAGACGAGGCAGGAGAAAGAAAATTGAACCAGTGGAAATCCTCCAGATAACAGAGGATAAAGTGAGTGTAAAACCAACAAAATCATCACCCAGTGAAGATTTGCCAGAAGCACCAGCTAAACAGATGCGAGGAAGGCCGTCAAGGAGAGCAGCAAAAGATCCTCTGGCCAAGGAAAATGATGTTGAATTAAATGAAACCATACCAGTTCAGAAAGGTAAAAAGAAATCAGATGTAGAAGAGAAAACGAACATAAAGAAGAAAAGTGGTTCAGTACGCAATACTTCTGAAGACAAGAAGGCTGCTGATGAACTGACAGAACCTGTATTACAAGAAGTAGTAAAGGAAACATTTCAGCCAGAACCAAAATCCAGGACAAAGAGACAGACAAGGAAAAAGAATGATGAGACAGTAATCAAAAGTCCTACCACTTCCATTCCAGCCAAGAAAAGTATAAAGCAAAAGAAGACACAGGAAGAAAATGCAGATCTGACAGTAGTAAAAGAGAACACTGAAGAGACTCTCGTAGCAGAAACCAAGAAGAGTACAAGGAGAAAGAAGATACAGATGGAAAATGTAGCTGTGGTGGAAGAGAAAGTAGAAACACTAGAAAAGACTAAAACTGCAAGAACAAGGAATGACAGAGGAAGCAAGAAGATACTAGATCCTGAAACAGAGTTAGGGAGTGAGAACACTCAAACCAGCAAACCAAAAGGAAGGAGAAAAAAAGCCAGTCCCAATGATAGTCCTATAGATGTCGAGGAACAAAACCAAGAAGCCAAAGAAAAGGAAGTTCAGAAACAGTCATTGAAAGCTCCCAGGGGTTCTCGTAAAAAGAAGAATGCAGAGATATCACCAGATGTTTCATCCCAGGAAGTTCTTCCAGTTGCTGGTCGTCCAGGGCGGCGATGTAAAGCCAAAGCTTCAGCAGCAATTGCTGAGACCTTAAATAGTTCTGACTCTGATTTTTTGAACACTATCAGAGCTTATAAATGATGAACTGTCCTAATTATGCAAGTAATTTGGTTTGTAAATTTACAGTTTTATATTTGAAATATTGTTTTTTAATACATAAGTTTATTAATGGTATTTATATGTCTTCTGTTTCATTCCTATTTTCATATACATAAAAGAAACAAGTGAATTTCTTCTCAATTTCTCATTTGTCACTAAAGGATTGTGTTATGCTCCATTGTACTGACATGTCACTAGTTTTATGTCATTACATTACTAGTCAGTGCTTGTTAATTTGATATGTGCTACTGTGTATTTCGGTTAACTGAGCAAGGTTTTTAATGGTGCATCAAATGATCACTTCACAAGATGGACATTTTTAATCTCCATAATCATAAGTCTTCCATTTCTGTCTTTATTCTTGCTTTCCTATAATACTCATCTTTGCTCTATTTTCCTTTTTTTTTTTCTCTCTAACAAAATGTATGGGCAGATTTACTTCTATAATTTTACTGACATTGCTTTTATCCATTAATATTTAGGATATGAGTATTGGTTTTGATTACTTTGCTGACTATAATTTTATAAATTCTCAAAACCCCAAAAGGCTGGAGAGATTCAGGGCTATGTGTTCAAGTTTAACTGCAGGTACAAGGATTTTGCTACTTTTACCACGTCAAGCACATGTGTCTGACTATACGACTTGATATATTCTCCTTTAGGGGTTAATGCATGGGTATCATTTTATAGACTAATCTGTGATTATCAGTTTAATGGCATTGCCATGTAGTGTATATTGAAGATGTAATGAATTAATTAATAACTTTTTGAGCTGATGTGCTCGTACTATTTTTTTGATGAATCAAAACTAAAAATAATTTTTGCCCATGTAATATGGGAAAACTGCTCATGAACCAATTTTTTTTACACTAAAGTGGGACCAATGTATAGGTATAAATACATTACAATAAAACTGAATTCTCTTATTTACCTAAAAATTATCATAGAAAACAGTTGATATTCATCAAGAGATGGAAAATTTTATTTTTTACTCAGATATTTAAAGATATCTTGAAATGCGAAACATGTCAAATTGTGACATTTAATGATAAAAACAAAATAAAAATAACTGAAAATCAGCTGTTTATCAGACAGTCTAGGTAAACCCATGTAATGCCTTCCATGTAATAGAACATTAATTTATTTGGCAGATTTATACAATGTTCTACGGAGAGCAATGAGTTTGTTTTAAAGGAAGCTTTTAACAGTTAACCCCCAATCCCTTGCCCGTTGTTGTCGAGGGGAGGGGGGGGGGCAATGGTGGGGATTTCCCCTGCCTGGACTTCAGCTCTTGACTCCACAAATTTTGCACAGTATTTTTTCTCCTGCTTTTTCGTTTCTGTCCCTTCTCCAACCCCTGCTATCCATTTCCCAGGGTGTGAGAGCCGTGCTGAAAGGATAAAAGGCTGATTTTGTGCCACTCGTGAACGGCCTGAGGGAGCCATGATATTCCCCATTTACTTATCTAACCCTTACCCTTCAAGGGGACCCTGAGAGGTGGACTGTTTCTCTCTCAAACATACTCTAGTCTTACCATGGCCTGTAATGAAGACTTTATACCCTTATTAGGGCCAATGAGGCTTGTCCCTTCATCAAATAGCCCCACCACTCAAACTCTCCCGGTTCCCCGACCCCAGGCTCTCCTTTGACCACGACTCGGAACACTGCAACTACTTCCCCCTCCTCAATGCCTACTAGTACATTATCCACCCAAATCAACACTCAATATCCAAGAGACATTCCTACTCTCCCAACATTCTCAGCTGCACCTCTACCATCACAAGCTACTACTTTACAGCCTTATTGTCCACCTCTCCGTAATAATAGATCCCTGAACACTACTACCTCTTCCACACGCCCCCGTTCTACCACCCCCGTCTCTACAAATATCTTAAATACTCTATTTAGCCCAGCCAAATAGTACCGATTTTTCGTGATCCCCCCACAGCTCCTTACTCTGACAACACACTCCTCGGCCCGATCGTTTCCGTCTCTTCACAGTTACACCTGAAAACCAAGCTATAGCGTTATCAACTCTAACTGATTTCTCTAGCAAGCCCATTCCTGTAGAACCTCATCCAACTCTCAATACTTGTACCGGAACGGTCTTTATCTCCTCAGCAAACTGCCCTATCTATAATAAAAATTGGTCAGATTGTGAAGAAGACTTACTCGCCTGCCTTACGGACAGTACTACACCATTCCTCCTAATGGTCATCGTAAGAACCCCACCAACAGTGTCAAAATTACTTTCCGTTGACATAACCCCTTTAATGTTTACATTAGTGGAGAACCCATAAAATATATGGGAACCACATCATTGGGCACATGTGTGTGACTGTGCAGGACTGTTTAAATAATCATGGCCAGGTTGGGCACATAGAAGGCAGTGGATTGTGGAGCAACAGTACTTAGCAGGGTGGCCAAAATGCCAAAATTTCTGGCATGGGACAGGGGAGGGGTCAGTATGGTCGGACAGGGTAGCACTCTCCACCAATGAGGTTATGTCTATGGAAGGTAATTTTGACAAAAATGGCGTAGGACTCTCAATGGCCTCTAGGCGGAAGAGTGTACCACTGTATTGATACTGCATCATAGTCAACAAGGTAGGCAAGCAGGTCATGTTCACAGTCTGACCAATTCTTGTAGACAGGGCAGTCAGTCAGGGAGATGGAAACAGTTCTGGTACAAGTATTAAGGGAGGAGTGAGGCTGGGCCATGACTGGAAGAATGCTGGCTCCAGGGAGGATGCTATTTCCATGCTCAGGATCCTATTCCTGCCCGCCATGGCTGGCGGCGTAGATTCTATTTTAAAAAATAGAATATTAGGATTTTTTTATTAAATGACACAAATAACAAAACGTTAATTATTGTTATTACACTGAGTTAAGGACTATCTAGAGAGATGATAGTGAGTCTGTGCAAGGAAAACAGTCTATTAAAGCAAATAGGAAAATGGAAAAAAAATAAAAGCAGTGCAGAAAAAGAGAAAATAAAGCATCAAGATCCAAGGGGTTAATATTATGCAAGTAATTATTATAGGCCCCTAGGTGACAGTATAATTTTCATATAATTTTGGGGAAGAAAATATGATATATTGTGGCCACACAACTAATTTCTGATGATATCCAATCTTCAAAGGTGCCCCAGTTTATACGGTGGCCATTTCTAAACGTGTTAGTCAGATGGGCAAATAGAACCATCACCTATATGATCAATTTCAGTCAACAAACAAGACCCTGAGATCCTTCATTTCGACAAACTCTGCCTTCAAGAATTCACATGTATGTTAAAACAATCTCTACGTGCCTGTTCAATAGGACAGGTATGCAGTTGACATTTAAAAACAGATTATCATAATATGACAATATTTTGATTATCAAATATAGTCCCTAATTGACCCTTACCCATTTCTCAATAGATAGACCAGTAAACACAAACCCTATTCCCATCTACAACAGTGAAAACCTAAACTGAAAGGAGGAAGGTAGAAGAAACTGCTATTTTCTTATGAAAAGCTAAAGCTTGCCAGTTTTATTTTTTGTAGTGTGCTTACCTCATGGTTAACATATTTTGATTTCGTTTTGTTTTCAGGTTGATTTAGTCATGGTAGGTACAAACAGCATGCATCAGGTACTAAAAGCATTAATCAGATCTGTTTAGAAGCAGAGAATTGAGCTTAGGCAAGGGTGTGTACTTTTTGGACGGGACTGGAGAGCCCTTGACCAATATGTGTGTATTTTTCAAGTGACTGCTAGAGAGACGTGACCCATGACACATAAAACTCTAAAGTCTCTTCCATTCTTAGGGAGAAATGGAGGCATTTTACTCTGAAGACGTTCGAGTGGCATCCAATCGATACACCACCCACGACTGGTCCAAAATGTACGCAGTGTGATATCCTAAATGTACCTACTGGACATCACGCACTTTGTACCTATTGGGCAGGAAAGTAAAAAAAAAATGATAATTAATTAATCAAAATGTTCATTTCAGAGTAAAGAAGTGATTATAGGAATTGAAAATGTCTACCCCAAAACGGAAAAAAATAGGATCAAAGGAAACATGTATAGCAGCCAAAAAGAGCATACATCGATCATCTTAGAGGAAATTGATCAAGGAGGTTACAAGAAGGTTTCCTGTCAAACTATACCTCCGTATTCAGTATCCCGAGTATGTCAGACTAACTCAAAGATAAGCATAATAATGAAGGAAGAAAGGGTCATTCTGTGATTTGGTACTTTTTAAAAACGCCATGGGTCTATATTGCAGCATTATTTAAGCTTCCCATTTACAACCAGCAACCCTGAAAAAGAGTTTCAAAAGCAACGTAAAAGTAAAATAAATTGAGCTTCCATCCAAACACAAACTTTTCCAGCTCATTCCAAACCATCCAGTTCTACCGAAGCTTCTCCATCTCGAATTATAGTGTCTACCACAAGTCCAGCATTCATGAACCACAAACTTCAAAATGAGGACAAAAAATAAATATACAGAGAAAAAAAAAAACATAAAACGTAAAGAAAACATTCCGTGAAGCATTGAAAGAAAAAGAAAATGGAAGATAACGAACAAGCACCTTCAGCTGAATTAAGTGAAACGAGTTATTCCTGGGCCGGAGTGAAGCTGGAGAAAGCTACATCCAGCAAGAGTACACTAACCACTTTATCTGATGCATATCTTGCTCGGGTCACTAGGGATGACAGAACAGGATGCCATTCCTTATAGAAAAAGGCAAAGACCTTTATATTAAGACAGAGATTGAAGAACTCACACCCACATTACTGTAATGAATTAGTTGTCTTGGAACTGCCACATGCCACATGTTGAGTGCAAGAATCGTGTATTTGGATTTGCATTTTCACCCAATATAAAATCAGTAGTTAATGCCCACTTCAAACACATAATAATGCATAGATATCATTGAAAAGAAAAGTATTCCTATGGTACAGGTGTGCGCCTAACCAAATATTTTTTATCTG